AAGAACCACTTTCTTGTAGATTAAGAGATATTTATGACAGAACGAGGAGACGTAGAGAATATTTCAACAAATTTCAGATGAGAACATTCAAAATTACAGATAAGCTTTTCAACTTTTCTAACGTTACTCGGCAACTTCAATAAATCCTTGTTAAAGGTATATTTTATAACAAGAATAGGTCGGTCTGCAGCTTCTAAAGATTTTTTCTGCTGAAACCCACCTTTATATGAGTTAGGGTGTAACATATTCCTCTCATTTGTCCTTTCGTCATATGCTGCGTTCTCCAGCGTAAGTTTCTCTTCATTTGGTTGATTCAAGGCTTGAAGCATTTGCCGATGAGCTTGAAGCTCGATCTCGACGTGAATCAGTCCCGCCAAGCAAACAACGGAGAGAAATAATGATGAAAACACCAGAAAGTTAGAAGCTGGTTTTGTCTTTGATTTCTTCATAACATGGAACGGATATCGAAACTGTCGTAAGCTTGTACAGCATGAAAATTGCTTCTTCAAGGGGCAACAAACGTATTTATAATCACAGCGAGACAGCGTGAAGGTATGTTGTCCTTACCCTCTATTGACCTTGCTTCATCGGTATCAACTTGCACAGGTCACGTTTCATATTTTTTTAAATCAAAGTTTCATCGTTTCCTACTTCCTTGGTCAGCTTAAGATTTTGCTATTGTAATAGTGGAACTCATAGTCACTTGGGTATCCCCGTGCTCTATGTACCACCATTTACTTAAATATGTTTGACATATCGTCAAACATATTTTCATTAGAGTAGACTCTTTGACATTTGATTGCTTGCATTGATGTAAACCTAAAGAATTTTTGAATTTTCACGATAGCCTTCATTTAGTCTTCCTGTTTTGAGATTGAACGAGCTTCTCTGAAAAGCTAAGAAGAAATAAACTGTGTTGAGGACGTTTTTTTCTTGTCTTTATTGCTGAAAGGCTCAGCTTTCGACCTAACAAAGTGTCATCACTATTGCTTTCAGTGCGCTAACTTCCTTATTTTGAGTGACACTTAATCGAAATGATACTCTTATTTTTAGTGCGATAGAAATTGTAGTACCTCAATTACTCGCTGGCGTAATTTTTAGCTCATTATCCTTTGAAATAAGGATGATGTGCGCTTATTAAAAGACAGAAAAAGCGGTGCTTTTTAATCTTCAAAAACCATGCCTGACCCCTTGAGCTTCTTCAAAGAAGCTTTGAAATTCGTTGTCTTGAGATACTTTATGGAACATGGATAATTTTCTCCCGCTAAGTACTAGGACGATTGAAGTATCCAAACATTTTGCTTTAGTTAAAAGCCACTTCCTTTAAACTCAAAGATACACATGAAAGAACAAGGAGACGAAAATGTAAACAAATTTCAAATGATATAATCTTCGAAATTGCAGTTTAACTTTTATAGGGTTACTTAAGCCCTGAAGTAAATAATTCTAATCAAAAGTCGTTCTTCTCTTCTAGTTTTTATGTGCTTAAACCCACCTTTTTATGAGTAAGGGTATAAGATATCTATCTCATTCGTCTTTTCGTCATTTGCTGTGTTCTTCAGCACGACTTTTTCGTCTTTTGGTTGATTCAAGACTTGAAGCATTTGTCTATGAGCGTGCAGCTCGATCTTGACGTGAATCAGTCCGGCGAAGCAAACAACGAAGAGAAATAACGTCGAAAACACCAGAGAGTTAGTTACGTCCTGACTTTTCAGCAAGACGAGAAGAATCTGTGATACAGAGCAGCAGTGTCCTTTTCCCCCCTTTCCCCTAAGTCTGGCCGAGTAACGTTGATCAGTTCTAGGAACTCCATACTACTTTAAATTTGCAAGGAAAGAGGAAAGCTAACACACATTTCTAGAGCTCTGTAAACGCCTTGCCGCTAAAGATATTACTGGTAAAAGAGACATAACGTTCAGCATAACAGGATTTGGTATACACTGGGGTAAATACTGCCACTTGTAGAAGGGCCGTGAAGATAATTCTAGCAAATAGGGCCGAGCCCTCTTGTGTATTTTCTTAGTATGAGGCTTCGAAAAAGAAAAGAAATTATGTGGTCATCTTAAAAAAAACAAAAATTATAAATAGGCGGCTACTTATTTAACAGTTATTAAAATACAACTGATGAAACTAAATAGTCAGAAGGATTAGTATTTTTCGTTCACAGGATCTGTCGCGTTAAATTAAATTTGCGAGGAAAGTAGAAAGCTAACACAGATTTAACAATAGGGCCGAACCTTTTTTAGCCCGTTGCCTTGTGTACTTACTTTGTATGAGGCTCCGAAAAATACAAATTATACGGTCATCTCATTAAAAAAAATAAGAATTAGAAATAATCAGGTATTTAACAGCTCTTAGTCCCTAAGATGTAGCTGACGAAACTAAAATGTCAGAAGGATCAGTGTTTTTTTGTTTAAAGGATCAGTTGCCTCCCACTCACATAACAACTGTTGGTAATTACACTTGCTGCATGGTGTTTAGTGGCTGAGTAACTGAAACAATGAAACCTTATGCCACACCATAACATTTGAGTTTTCCTAATGTGTGATATCCTTCTTCGTTTGAGTCATCCAAGTCTCCGAGTCTGATTTGTGTCACAGGCAGAACAGACTTATCAGTTAACAAACCGCTGTCCTCTCTCCAGCCACTGCTACTGCCAATGTTGTGACAGTTACACTTCTTACCTTTCGAACAAGAATTTGTTACTCCGCATGCGCACATCTTGTCATGACCTGTAGCTCCTCCCCAGTAGTTCATCTGTGTTCCACCACGTGACACCCACCAAGCAAAATTATCCTCAATAAAAGCTATGTCATTATTGCACTCAAATTTGATAAACTGTTCACAGTTCTGTGAGACTCGAGTGAGTGCTGATAGCTGAGCGGTGCTGACTCCAGTATATCGCACATCTTTACTGTAACATCCAGGACCACCACATCCAGGAATTTTGCCAACACAAGTTCTTCTCTCACTGTCATGACTGATAACCGTCACACAAACCCCACCTTTGTCAGTCATGTCACAGTACAAGCTGAAGGGTGTCACACCTTCTTTGCCATCAGGGTCTATCA